GGGAACTTGTATAGTGTTTACCAGCTCCTGGGCCACAGCACGGGGTTTATACGTGCTGGCCTTCTGATACTAGCCGCCATAAGAGGTGGTGTTGATTTGTATTTCCTTGATGACTGTGATGTGGAGCATTCTCCATAGACTAGCTGGTCATTTATATGTCTTTTGAGAAATGTCTGTTTAGGCCTTTCTTCCATTTATTTAGTGGAGTTATTGTAGCTTTTAACAAATACTGATTTCTTTTTTCCTGTCGCTGTTGTGTTCAGATGGATGGTTTGCAAGTGTTTTCTCCCCTCTGTCGGCGGCCTGGGCACTCGTGTATTTAGTGGAGGTCTTTCAGCACATTGTTACTTTATTTTTTATGATTGTTTTCAAGTGGCTGGAGAATTCTTGGCCCGCCGGCAGTGTCTCCCTGTTTATCACCCGTGGCCCTCTTCTGGAGAGAGGCCATTCACATAATGGGAGGTTTCCAGATAACTCCTGGAGTGGAGTCCTTGTGTGGCTGCTGCCGGAGGCCCTTCCCACTTGTTTATGCCGCAGGCTCCCAAGATAAGAACTGAGTGCTTTACAGACCAGGCAAGTAGCACCAGCCAAGGAAGAGTGATTTGGAGAGAACTGTCAACAAGGCTGCTTTTCACATTTTTGTCCCCCTTGAAAGTGTTTACATACTGAGTGCTATAAATGGCACTTACTGTCGCTTGGCTTTGGAGATAGAGGCCCCTTGGTGGTATCAGTTTAGGTCTGGTTGGGTTCAATTTGCAATTTTGTTAACCAGATTTTTCCTGGGGGGGGGGTCACAAAGTACATTCAGGTTTTGGAAAATGTTGATTTCAGGGCCTCCCGTCTGGTGTGGGAAAGGCGGGCCTGGGGTCTGGACGAGGCCTCCCCCCATATATAGCCTGCTCTGTGGTGATGAGCCGCGCGCTTCACCTGTGTTCCAGAGGCAAGAGTGTGGAACTCGCCACGGCGGCCCACCCCTCCGGTTGACCGAGTCAGCTCCACTGTGGAGCATGATTGACCCACTCTGCGCCAAGTGGCCTGCCAAGTGTCATTCTGAGTGCGTGGCTGTTGTTTGACATGGATGAGGTTACTTCATTCCTTGTGGGTTTTCAGTATCATTAACTCAGGATTCGGTGTTTGCTTTTCTTGTCTCTGGGCCGATTCAAATTGTTTCCCTTACAGCAAGTGCATTTGTCTATCCTCAAGCCTAGCATCAGAACACCATGTGAAAGTTCCCAGTGTAGCTCTTTTCTAGATGGTTTAATTTTCCACTTGTGATTGGGATCAGCTTTAGAAAGCAGATGTTCATTTTTTGAGTTGTGACAAGGGACTTGGATGGCGATGAAGGGACAGACAATGCTCTAATGTTGAAAAGTATTTTCATTTTTTAAATAGCGGTTTGGCAAACCTGATGACCGTGCATTCTGATGCAGCGGGGCCCGTTCCAGCCCTGACTGCCCACACTCGCAGCCTCGCACAGCTGACCGTTTGGTTCTCTAGTGGAGAGCGTTTCTGAACATGGCAGGGTGTTTAGCATCATCCTTGGCTCCAGCCCGCTAGATGCCGGCGGAGTCCCTTCCCACCCTCATTTGTGACAGCTACAAATGTCTCTAGACAGTGCCAAGTGTCCCTGGCACATGGCTCTATTTGAGAACCACTAGTCTAGATGGGTAGCCTGAGGAATCAGCAGTATTGCTAAAAAACATAACTGCTCATCAAAAATGGCTTTCCTTTGCCACTTTTTTTTTTTTTTTGCATTTCTGAACCTAGTGCCTTGTGATCTGCTACAAACTTCTCTTGCAGTACATTATGCACAACTTTGCTTATGCTGTAGTATGAACTGTTAAAGATTCCTCATTTGTTTTGAACTGATGATGTAAAGGCTGAATTTCCCCCATCCTTGCAGTCATTGTGAGATTTTAGTCTGTGGAAAACAGATGCCTGTAGATCCCAAGTGTCCCCTTTGTCCTAGAATAAATTCTAAATAAATCATTACTTTCTTGTGCCAATACTGGCTTGAACTCAAGGCCTCAAGTTCTTGCCTAGCTCTTTTGCTCAAGGCCAGCACCTGAGCCACAGCTCCAATTTCAGCTTTTTGCTGGTTCATTGGAGATAAGAGTCTCATGGCCTTTTCTGTCCGGGCTGGCTTTGAACTGTGATCCTCAGATCTCAGCCTCCTGAGTAGCTAGGGTTACAGATGTGAGCCACTGGTGCCTGGCAAGATTTGTGCAAAAGAAAAGGGGGAGGGGGGAGGAGGAGCAGCCTTCAAGATCCCCACCCAAATCCCAGTTACTGCTAATAATGAGGCAGTGAGCTCTTTTTCAGAGGGCTTGGAGAGCCCGCAGAAGGGGGGTTCCCTGGGACCAGTTAGGCTGTTGCTTGTCCCCATTGGTGGTTATGAGCCTAACCATTGGTTTTAACACACTTCACAGCTGTGGTGGAACCCCGTGGTTACAAAACACAGCCCCTCTTCCAGTTCACCTTACGGAGAGGTAACCTGGGATTATTTTGGGGAAATCTCTACTTCCTCTGTGTGTCCAGATAGCACTGGAGTACACGTTTGCCCCCACCCGAGTTACCACCTCTGGTACCTCTTCCGTGGCTCCATTCTGGGGATTTGGGGGCGTGGAAACGCTGGGGGCGGTGGACGGGTGGCACTCACTGTCATCAGCCCCTCCCCCTGCTTGGCCTCTCTCGTCTTCCTTGAATCAGTGCCGTGCTTAATTACCACTGCCCTTGCTGTGCATGCCTCAGTGCTCCCCTCCCGAGGCCGGACGCAGCCCTGCTCCCCCCGTGATGATGGTAATGGCTGCTTGGGCAGACCTGTTCCTCACCCTCCTCCAAGCGCGTGTCTGACGGCAGGTGTCTAGTCCCTAATTACGTGCTAATGAGCGTGCCCAGTGGACCGTGATGCTGCTGCCAGCTTCTTTGGTTTTATGCCTCACTATTGCCGAGCTCTTAAAAGGTGACAGAGCAAGAATTAGTGTCTTTGGGATGACAGGAAGGTGCTTTCACAGGTGAAGAAATCGTTAGTGTGATCTCAGATGGTGAGTGAGTGGTTTATAAATACGTTCAGGGGATACCGTTAATACCCTCTGCCCCGGCCTTCCATCCCTCCTTTCCCATTATCTGCTCTAATTACAGCTGGGTTCTCGTGGGAAGGAAAAGATGGCGATCTCCCCAATTTTTTAACAGTGCTAGGAATGGTGGAAATTTTACTGCAATATTAGAGCAGGTTCTGATTTCTGTGTGTATGTGTATAGAAATGTACATGTATACATGCCTTTCCTGGGGCTGGAACTCAAGATCTGAGTGCTGTCCCTAAGGTTTTTGTTTGTTTGTTTTGCTCAAGGCTAGTGCTCTACCACTTGACCCACCCACAGCTCCACTTTTGGCTTTTTGATGGTTAATAGGAGATAAGAGCTGCTTGGAACTGCAGTCCTCAGGTATCAGCCCTCGGAGTAGCCAGGATGACAGCTGTGAGCCGCCAGCCCTGAGCTCTGGTTTTTTGTTTTTTTTAAATGACTGTTCTGGTGTTTGAACTCTGGCCTGGATGCTGTTCCTGAGCTTTTTCGCTCAAGGCTGGACCCCTCTACCACTTGAGCCCCAGCTCCCTTCCATGTTTTGTTTTTGCTGGTTAATTGGAGATGAGTGTCAAGAACTTTGGCTTTGAACTATGACTCTCAGATCTCAACCTCCCGAGTAGCTGGGATTATAGGTGTGGGCTACTGGTGTCCATTTGGCTCTGATTTTCAGCATGGTGTTTTTTTTCATACTATTGAGGTTGCTTTGAGCATGTTTGGGATTCAATTAAAAACAGTGGTCTGAGTGGAAATTACTAAAGGTCTTGTGTGAAGATTTAATATATTCAGGACCACACAAGGAGGTAATAAATTAAAAAAAAAAAGAGTAATTATCCCAGGGAGGTAAACAGATCAGCTGAAAATTTTTCTCACATGAAACCTAAGGACTGAACTCTGTGTTTCTGGATCTGCAGTGCATCTGGTACTGTGGTGAGGGGCACTTCCACGACGCTCTCTGGATCTGTACAGCGTGCTTTTAACTACAGTATACGAGAACAGGGTGCCGTTGGTGTGAGCAGTGCGTTGAGTGTGTCAGAGCTCCACTCTGGACACTTGAGCCGGGACTTCCTCTCACACACCGAGTGGAAAGTACTTTCCTTGTTAGGGTGTTTTGTTTTTTGGTGTTGGTTTTATGGCTTGAACTCAATGACTGGGTGCTGCCCCTTAGCTTTTTGGCTCAAAACTGGTACTTTAGCACTCAGCCAAAGCTCTCCTTCTGGCTTTGGTGGCTACTTGGAGATGAGAGCCTTACAGACTTCCTGCACAGGTTGGCTTTGAATCTGATCTGCAGATCTCAGTCTCCAACATAGCTAGGATTATAGGCGGGATCGCCAGGGTACCACCCGGCTCCATCCTATTACTGGAGGTCAGGGAGAGAGAGTCGCCTGGTAATCAGACGGAGTCAAGCAGTGGTTACCAAATGGTGGTATGGGCACCACAGCCCCCAGCCCACCTCCCAGTCCGAACGAGTTAAAATCTGTGATGTCTTCAGTTTAATGGCTTTACTGGATTTCATCACTGGGAGACACTTTAGCGAGATGCATCTCACCTGCAGGTCTGACGCACTTCCCAAGACTTGCGTAATAAGAAGCCATGTACTGGGGGTGGAAATCAAGACCAGCTTTTTTGGGGGGGGGGTTCAGTAGCCTGAGTGGGTGAGAACTTTTGATGAGCCAAAGGGACGGGACTAATGTTGTTTTCTCCTTCTCTCTCCTCCCTTGTGACCCATGTTCCACCTCCTGTTCCTTTCGTTCTCTCTCATTGTGTGTTTTCTCCCCCCCCCATGCTGTCTTGGCCACCACCACCTCCTCCCCTTGTCCCTCCCCACCTCCTTCCCTCCCCGTGCCCTTCCTCCCCCTCCTCCTCTTCCTCCTCCTCCTCCTCCTCCTCCTCCCCCTCCCGTGTCACCAACAACAACAGCAGCAGCAGCTGCAAGCTCAGCATCTGTCCCACGGCCACGGGCCCCCGGTGCCCCTCACGCCCCACCCGTCAGGACTCCAGCCCGCCGGCATCCCGCCCCTGGGGGGCAGCGCCAGCCTTCTCGCGCTGTCTAGTGCCCTGAGCGGGCAGTCTCACTTGGCAATAAAAGACGACAAGAAGCACCACGACGCAGAGCACCACAGAGGTGAGAGGCCGGGCAAGCCAGATTAGGACCTTGCCCTCATACCCAGACAGTACCGCAGGCTTGCGTGCCTCGCTACCCAGACAGACAGCAGACAGTGAGATGAGGAGCGGTCGCCAAGCGTCCCACTGACTCGGCTGCGCCCTGGGCTGGCAGGGCCGGCGGGGCCGGGGGCTCTCCGCCCTTAGATGGCAGGCACCCTTGACATCCTGGCAACGGCCTTGTAAATGCCACGGCCCGCACCGTGTTACGGAAAACTGTTCACCGCTTCATTGGGTGATGTCAAAGAAAGTGATGTTGTGAAATGGGGCGAGATAAGAAGTTAAAATTTGAAAGCGAATGTGTTCAAATGAAAGGTTTGATAATTGCATCTGTTACTACTTAGTTTCATAGGCTTTAATTCTAGTATGCATTAAATATTGGGCAAAATTGCACTTGACTAATTTTTTTGGAGAAAAGTAATTTATTCTGTCAAGAAATAAAAAAATAGGCTTTGTGTATGGTTAAACTGTAAATCTTATGTTTACAAAATACTGTAATTTTCAGGAAATCACTGTATTAGGAATGTGCAATGACTTATATAAATAAAAGCCATTTTAAAACTGTTGGGGCCTGTGTTCTAATTACTCCCCCCTTTTTTTTATTTCTGTTCTTGCCTCTGTGTCTGAACGGGCATGTCTGTGCGTTTCTTGGTAACCTCGGGAGCAGACAGAGAACCGGGCACAGTAAGTACTCAAGCACCCGCTGCACACAGACACCAGCCCCCAGCGCACCCCTCCACACACCACACTGCCCGGCCTGCCCTGCCCGGCCTGCCCTGCCCACACATGTACACTTCCTGCACACCGCAGTGACCTGGGTTTTTCCTTTTGTCTTCTTCTAAAAACTTTTTTTTGGTGCTGGTCCTGGGGCTTGAATCAGTGCCTGGGCCTAGTCCCTATGCTTTTTTTTTTTTTTGTCTGCTCAAGGCTAGTACTCTTTTATCACTGAACCACACCTTCACTTCTGGCTTTTTGGTGGTTAGTTAATTGGAAAGAGTCTCATGGATTTTTCCTGCCCAGGCTGGCTTTTGAACTCTGATCCTCAGCTTTCAGTCTCCTGAGTATCTAGGATTACAGGTGTAAGCCACGAGCTTCTGGTAAACCTTTTTTTTTTTTTTTTTGCCAGTCCTTGGGCTTAAGCTATGGACCTGGGGCCTCGGCACTGTCCCAGAATTTCTTTTGCTCAAGGTTGTCTACCACTTGAGCCACAGCCCCACTTCTGACCTTTTCTGAATAGTTTATTGGAGAGAAGAGTCTCACAGACTCTTACCTGGGCTGGCTTTGAACCGTGATCCTCGGATCTCAGCTTCCTGTGTAGCTAGGATTACAGGTGTGAGCCACTGGTGCCAAGATAAAACTTTTTTTTTTTTTGTGACTGTTTTCCCTCTGTTTACAAAACAGAGGTGCATGATTGGAAGTGCATGATTCAAAGTGACTCAAAGATAAAGCTGTTTACTGTAATGACTTAGTTGGAAATAACACTTATCTATGTGCATTTCTGGGGGCCTGCTGGCCTACTTTAAAAAACGTGTTTGTCATTACTCATTACTCGTCAGTCTGATCTTAATTCAGCTTTGCTGGCTAGAGTGACCGTCAGTATGAGAAGGTGGTTGGTAGCATTTCAGTTCTGCCTGGTCCCCTCATCACCTTCTGAGTTGCTGGGTACTCACTTCTGTGTTACTTATATGGTTGTTTTCTGAGTGTGAACTTGAACTTAAATTTATCTTAGACCTAAGACTGAGCATATGAGCAAACAAAAGTGAGGAGATTCATAGTATGGCTTGAGAGCCTGTCATTTTCTCTGATGCTCTGACACATTGGAGTAGCCTGTGGGCTTTCCATGATTCTACCAGGTATCTCTTGTGGGAGGTTTACAGCCAGAGTGCATCTTAAATGTTGTGGAGAGAAAGGGAGATCGTTCCTGCCTCAGCAAGGATAGCATCCATCCATCCATCTATGCTTTTTTTTTTTTGGGGGGGGGTCAGTCCTGGAGCTTAAACTCAGGGCCTCTGCACGCTGTCCCTGAGCCTTTTTGCACAAGGCTAGCATTCTACTAGTTGAGCTGCAGTTCCACTTCTTTTTGATGGTTAATTGGAGATAAGTCTCACAGACTTTCCTGCCTAGACTGGCTTTGAACCCTGATCCTCAGATCTCAACCTCTGATTAGCTAGGACTACAGGAGTGAGCCTTTGACACAATTGCTGAACTGGCACACATGCAGCCGTATGGCAGAAAGTGGGACACTGAATAGTTATTTTTTGCCAGTCCTAGGACTTGAACTCAGGGCATGGGCGCTGTCCCTGAGCTGCTTTCTGCTCAAGGCTAGCACTCTACCACTTGAGCCACAGCGCCACTTCTGGCCTTTTCTGTGTATGTGGTACTGAGGAATGGAACCCAGGGCTTCATGCACGCTAGGCGAGCACTCTACCACTGAGCCATCTCCCAGCCTGAGACACTGAACTTTTAAAATCATTACAGTGATGTCTTGTTTTTTGGTAGTGGTGGGGATTGAACCTTGGGCCCTGTGCAGGCTAGATAGCACCCTAGCCTGGAACTACTGCTTCAGCCCTCATACTTGTGTGTGGGGAGTTTGAGGGACCGAGACAAATCTTAGCAGTTGGGAACATTTTGGGGGTGCTTCTACTCTGCCTTCTGTGTAAAATAGCAGCTAGATTTTGTTTTTAAATGGTCTTTGCAACAGATGCTGGTGTATATGGAGTGTGGTCGTGCTAGAAGTGGGTGTGAAAGGAGGGAGTAGCTCATTTTTAAGCTCACCTGAGTTTTCTCTGAAGCGGGTTGTGCGGGAGAAGGAGAAGTAAGTTACAGTTAACCCTTCCCTGCTAGAAAAATATAAGTAAACTGGCTTTGATTGATAGGTCTGACCTTTGCTGTTTTGCTCTTTCAAGGTCCTGTTGGATTATCATGTGTTCTGCCCTGTTCATTCAGTAGAGCTAAAATCTAACCCCGCATACAGAGCACTGCAGGGGACAAGGTGCGCAAAGCCTGCGCTGCGTGTTCATCTTTTACATGGATTATTAGTTTAATTTTTACTTGTTCCAGGGCTGAAGGCCAAGTCCTACTGTTCATTCAGCTTGATTGCCCAGGCCAGAACTCCAGGCCTGGGTGCTGTCCTTGAGATCTTAGGATCAAGGCTAGTGCTCTACCACTTTGGTTAATTCGAGATGACTCTCACAGACTTTGCTGTCCAGGCTGGCTTTGAATCGTGATCCTCAGATCTCAGCCTCCTGAGTAGCTAGGATTTCAGGAGCGAGCCATTTGTGTCAGATTTATTTTTATTTTGCTACTGTTGCTTCCTTCCTCCTCTCTCTCCTCTCCTTCCCTCTCCTACTCTCCCTTCTCCTTCAGGCTTAGGAGGTTTGTCTTCTCTACCTGCATGCCATGCGGCAAGAGCA